TTGCCTCTATATGGTATGCTTGTCGGTGCAAGGTAAATTATAGGTAAGAGCTTGTAAATAACAACAATCAAATTAATAAAATTATACAATGAACTTATTAATAGGATTTCTAGTCATTTAGGAGGTCGAGAATGAGTACAAGAGCGGAAAAAATAGTTGTCGGAAAAGTTAGGGCTTCAGGAAAAATTAATCTGGGTCAAGCATGGAAAAATTAGTGAATTATATACGCCAACGCTAAACGAATAAACTATTATCTCTTGAACGAGGAAAGCAGTCGAAAAATAGGGTAAAGAGCATCAGCTAAATTAGAAACAGAAATGCAGTGAGGCAAGAATTTCCTCTTACTTACACAGCGATCTTGGATGTACGGTATCTTCTCTCTTCACTTTCACTCGCCTTTCCTCTCAACAACTTATCAGAGTCCTGATGGGACTTTAAAACTTGCTATCTTTAGAGATTGTTCAACTTAAAAACAAATCAAATGGAAATTTGTTTGACTTGGTTTAGTAAAACTTTTTTGGATCTGACTTTGGAGCTTTAAATGATTGTGTGAGTCTTATACTCTTTAAGAGTTTTAAAAAAGTCAGCTATATATATTTATATAAAATCCCCTAAAAATCTAACTAAATGCGAAATGAAAAGCCACCGAGCTTCACGCGCGTACAGGAGTGAGCAGAGCATGCATAAATTTAAATATCACAATTAACTAAGAGGAAGCGTCTGTAAAATGTAGCCACACTCATGTCAACTTCTGACCGACTAACCAAACGCTTAAATGACAGACAGCTTTCGTAATGTGTTTAAATTTAAAACGCTTTCGTGCTTTCAAAGGATAAACATAATTATGGACGAGTAAGTACGAATTTACATGGCAAAACGACGCGAGAACAACAAAGCAGAACAACAACCTAAGTAAAGCGCGAGTTGTTATCATACAAATGGGAGTTGATTAGATATTCTGCCATTACCACAGCGCGGATCTTTGTAAACAACAGTACAACGGTGCAAACGAAGGTCGACCGCCGACAGTTATTCAACCACAAGATATTTTGCTCAACCCCACACAACGCTCAGCGCAAAATTGTATACAAACGGCGAAACTTTTCTAATAGGTAATCCATCAACTGCTCTGCGGTCACTTGGTTTGGGTAATAGATATGTCTGCTTAATTTGCATATTTAAAACCAAAAAAGACATTTGTCAACAAAATGGCGGTCTCATCTGCTAAAAGTTACTATATTGTATGGGGCACGTGCAGCTTAAATTGATCCGCTTATGTAACTTTATCCAAGTTGTATGGTATTTTTTATAAACGAAAATTTAATTACATAAACATGTTAGTAGTACGGCAACACTGGCTGCAGAAAGCTTGTCGCTTATAATGCGTTTCATGTAATCGAAACAAAACAATTAAAGTGTCAACGAACTATTGAATGGAAACTTGAATCTTTACGAAGGTAGAAAGCGAGGTTATGGCAGTTTCGCACCGTTGCCTGTTTTTGGATTACATATGACAGACTTTGTTTACAATTACTATGGAAGTTTGACACTTCGTTGCGTGTCGTAATCATATTTGTATCATTATTGCTTGATCTACTGACATTTGTACAAGAAATAGTCCAGATAGTGAAGAGAATTGGTGAAAACATATTAGCTCGGGACAGCTGTTATGATTACCGAACTCGGAATTGAAAGTGAGTGTCAGCTGTTATTAAATTTGACGGTTGTATGGAAGCAACCGAGGTGGTAGCATCCCAACATTTCTTTCTTGATTGTGCCGCGTTTGCGTGGTCGAGGATTAAACACTTTGGGCTCACACCTTGTGATATCCCATCGAGTTGTTGGGTTACCACAAGGCACTTTTTTAGGATTTAATGCAAGAATTATGTTTTTATGACTACACAAAAGACTGCATATAGTAGTTGAGGTGCAATCTGCGTATCAGCCATCCAACCAAACCTAACCTTACTTAACTTTTCTCCTTTTTGTTTCAAAATTCGTCAGAGATAATTGATTTCTAAGTTCCAAATCCGATTTAAAATAGCTCTGAAAGTATTCGACGCAGCAGCCGCCTTGGTAAGCAGAGGAAGAGGAAGACCTCCACTTCGTTGGAAAGACCAGGTGGAGAAAAACCTAGCTTCGCTTGGAATCTCCAATTGGCGCCACCTTACGAAAGGAAGAAACGACTGCTTCGCTGTTGTTGACTGGGCTATAACCACGTAAGCGATTTCTACACCAGCAAAGATGAAGAAGAATATTGTCTTTTAATGGAATTTTTATCATAAAATAAAACTCTCGATATTTGCCAGCCTGAACATTTCCAACCTTCCGCAATATGTTCTTTTCGTATTCTCTTCGAGCACTCTACTAAAATTTAATTCACTTACTATGGCAGCTCACTAAAGCATTAAGCATTGAAACATCTCTCAAAAAACATATATTTGCATCAAAAGTTAAGGGGAGGTGGCTCAAGCAATGCCTGCTGCAAATTTTTTTATGACCTCGCCACACAGACGATTTATAAAGATTGCATAGCGATTTATGGTAATGACGCGCTCGGTTTGCCAATACAAGACGCCCGACGCCAGGCGCTCGGTATGCCAAGCTTCACTTCCGTTCCAAAGCGAGAATTAATAAATTTAATTTTATTGAGAAATTTCTTGACATAAATCAAGTGCGGGCGCGTACAATGAGCAGTGCGAATTGGGATTTCAATACGCTAAAGAGGCTTGCCAATCTGTGGAGAAAATCTTGCGTCATGCCAGCCTCACTAAATTGACCGCATTAAGCTGGGCCCATTTGTCAAAGCACAGACACCTACGCGCAGCGGCAAGATTATTAGTTTAACGCTGTGAAAAGGTAGCAAGCGGAAACAACAACACATGTGTGCTGTTCGAGCGTGAGTGCCAATAATGGGCACGTATGTGCGCGGTCTTGGGGGTTTGGTAAACGTAAGCATTTGTGTGCTTCCTTTCAGCGAGGTGGCAACGCACACAATAAAAACAAATATGCTGGCATATAAAAATTTATGACTTTTATCGCTTTTGCCTGCAACGCGCCTGAAAACTTCGCTTCAAAGGTTGACAGTGCACACAAGGAGGTGGAGAAGGCAGCAAAGTGTAGTTCCCAAGCGTATCTTAAAGGCTGTAGGCTACGCGCGCAGCACAGCCGCAGTGTATGCGTGTGGCAGGATGTGTTGCGCGCCTGCTTTCCATACGCATTTTCTTTGTATCTAACGCACTGTGCGGTAATTTTTAGTGCGCCTGCAAACCCGAACCTCAGACAGGTACGAAAGTGTCGGGGTAATGTTAAATGTTGTCTAGCAAACACTGCGCTGTGTCTAATCAGTGCTCTAGAGGCGTTGTGGATGCGTGAGCGAGCAGCTGCTTATCCGCATGTGGCGCTGATAACATAACCGTAAACAAGTAAAGCAAGGCAATGGGGAAATGTGAAATTGGAAGTTTAAGAAGTGGCGCCAGCGAATTTAAACTTATATACTAGCATAAAATATGTGCGGTAAATTAAAAAATCTTTGCTCAACCAGTGCGTATAGCGCGGTCTGACAGTACTCTATATAGAGCGCGGTCTGACAGTACGTACGTACATATGTATGTAAGTAGAACAATGTCATTACACTTGAGGAATGATAAGTACTGGGGCATATGCTTTTGTGTACCTTTTCCTAATGCTAGTATTTAGAATTGTCAGGGGAGTCATACAGCGTGAAATTTAGAAACGCAAACGAAGGTAAACAAATTGCTGGCGCGTCATAAAAACACCGAAAATTTTCCAAACGATCATGCCACATCTAACGGGTGTAACTAAAAAAAACAAGCTTTCTAACTTTTCCAATAAAATCGCTTATGCAGCGGAAATGAAATGCAGCCGAAAAGAGGAAAGAAGCCAAAAAGGAGGAGTCAGAGTCCGAGGAAGACGACGATATGGCTTTCGGTCTCTTCGACTAGACAACTCAACCCTAAAGCTTAAAGCTAAAAGGCGCTAAATTGCGCTTGCTCAAGCGCTTAAGCGTACATAGCGCCTCCGCTCTCTCCCTCTCTTGTTATTTATGCTGCTATTCTGAAAACATTTGCATTTAATTTGCCTTTTGCGCCATTATTTACTCACGCCCACTTAAAAGTCGCTAAGCAGGCAGTAAGCCGCTTCAATTATGCAGCATATGTTTGCCGACAGTCTTCGATTGCTACTTATATGGCAACATCTTGCAGCAATTTGCATTGATTGCCAATACGCAAGTGCGTAGAAAATTGCGTGCGTCGCTAGAAATTCGCGTCCTGCCATTAATTTTCTTTTATTTTTTTTATTTATATTTCATTCATGTTGACTGCCACACCACCTGTTATGCCGCCATTGTTACCATAAAGTCGCGAAAGAGCATTACAACATGGGTCCGCTCACTTTTAATGCAGATACTTAACGTTTTCATTTTCTTTTTACAACGCTTCGTGTACATTACAAGCGCTACGCCCACAATACAAGCACACCCACAACACAGGCTTTGCGTTCTTTTCAATCTTCGATATATAAATTAATGTCAATCCGGGTGGAATTGGCTGTTTGATTGCTTGCGTTTGTTTTTTTTTTTTTTTGTTCTCGATTTCTCTATCGAAATCTTGTACTTGTAAGTAGAAATTGACACTTGCCACTGTCGGCAAGAAGATTGATTATGTTTTATGGCGAAGCCTGTCAATGTCGGCATTATTTAACCTACACGACAAGTGGCAATTCCCCGAACATGACGTGGCGAGTGGCATATAAATTTAAGATGTTCGCAAATAAAAAAATAAAAAAACAAAAGGTTGGCAATCCTCTAATGGGACTAAAAATAGCACGCCTATAAAAAACACGTGCCGTAAATAGCGTAATGAGCAAGGGCAGCAAGCGTTCATGAGGTAATAAGGATAAGGAATAAATAACGTAAGAAATAAGCATAGCAAAAAACAATAACCCTTTTTATTGAGCAACATTAAGCTTGCACTCACCTGTAGTTATAGCCTGGCCGATTTCCATGCGCTCGTCACAAAATTTAGGCCAGCAACAGGCGCGCTACAAACAGTCAAAGCGCCTAATGCCACATGCCTTTATATATTATTGTTTTTGCACAACTGTCTCTTCATTTACTGTCCAAGTAGCACATGTGCAACGTGAAAGTATCAGTTATGTGCCGTTTTATTGTTACGCACGCTGTCAGGATATGTACGCGTGACTAGTTTGTTTGCGTGGCGTGTACATACGGCCACATAGCTGGCACAAAGGTGTCACTGCCTGCGTTCAACATAATTACACGAACTTTTTTACACAACGTACATATATGGATACAGTTTCATTGGCGGAAAGTTTGCAATTTTTCCCGACATGGGCAACACCTTTTTTGTGACTGTGGCACAGGGGGTACTTTTGTGCACAACAGTTAGCTTTTTATCGGTATATTTGCTATTTTATGCTGAGTATTTTAAACTTTTTCATTTGTTTTTACACAGATCGATTCATTAATGTTACTGACACCAACTTTTTGTGGGAGGTAGAAAAACTTTAAGGCGTTGTAGGGGGGCACCAGCGCGCATAATTAATGTTCGTTCACCTTTTACAAAGTGTCGGTTTGCTTTACTAATAATATGATAAAAAAAAGTGTATGCAAAGAACATTTTATCAGTTTCACTAACAATGAGGGATTTAGTTTGAGATTAAAAAAAAAAAATAATAATATTCGAAAAATTTTCTAAGTAAGTTTTTACGCCAAATTTAGGAATGTTTATACCCTGCGTGGGGTATATTAAGTTTGCCACGAAATTTATAACATCCAAAGGCAAAAGTGGGAGACCCTATAAAGTGTCTATATATTATCGGCATGACAAGCTCCGATACAGACAGACATACATATATATGTACATACGTGAATAAGTGCCTCAGTTTTTGAGATATTGATCAGATATTTTACACACGTCCCTTACTCCCCAAGACCCTGCAATTTTCCCAGAACCGCCCAGAACAAACTGACCTTGAAAATCAAGTTTTGGTATTGAAAACTTTTTTTTAGCGAGATATTTTCACGAATTTTGGCATAGATTACTACTCAAGGCAACGTTAGAATCTCTGTACAAATTTATTACAGTCGGACCAGTATAGCATATAGCTGTCATACAAACTGACCGTTCTAAATGTTCTTGTATGGAAAGATTTTAGTTTCTGATAAACTTTAATTTAGAAATTAATTTAATTATTAATATTATTATTAATTTTAGGAAAAAAATTAATTTTAATATATAGTACTTTTTAATTAATTCACACTACCAAAGCAACACTTTATAAAAGGCAGGCAGCAGTGCACCCTCAACGTAATCTTTACTCACTTTATTTTACTCACTTTATTTGGCACTTTATTAGCCGCACACAGCCACACGATTTTCACTTTTTCAAAAGCATTTACTAATAGTAGCTTTACGACGAAAAACGGTCACACTTTCACACCTAACGCTTCAAATGTGAATTCTTCCTTCTTTGGTTTTGCGACTCACATGCTCCAGCCGGTTTGTTTTTGCCGACTCATGCATTTTAATGGCGTGGCAGCCGCTGCAGCACAAATGGACAGGTGAGTGGAAAACACCGGATGCTGTGTAAAAGCTGCCGTATATGTATGTATGTATTTTTTACCGCTTCACTAGCAGCTGCACACACGTTTGTTTTGCGTTTCACTTTTTACACTTCTTACTTTCACAATTTCGCACTTGCTCGCTTTAACTTCATTTTAAAAGCTTTTGTTGGCCAATTCACTTTTACACTTCACAGCATCAACTCGATGCTTGCGCGCTTCCTTTGCGGCACGTAAGTATATGTACACATCACTTAACCTAACTTTTTGCAGCACTTGCTGAGTTTCTGGTTTTCGCTTCACTTCAGCTGCGTGCCTTTCCACTTATTTATTTATTTAGCCTGTGTATTTGCAGGATTATTGCAGATGCTGCTGTTTTATAATTTACACTTTCTTGCGTATGCACACGGCGTCCGTCCCTGCAGTTACAGCGCCTTGCTGCCTTCACACCCAAATCTCTCGCGTCACGCAATGGGTGGAGGCGAAAACGTTTATACTTGTAGCACAAACCTATCGCGTATTGTTGTAATGGCAACAAACACTGCACAGCTGCACTACCCCACAAGTGCGTTCGTTAAGCCGACGACTGCAATCAATTTTGGCCGCAGTTATTTGTTCTGCTTAATAGAGTTCAACTACATGTTATTGCTTTTGCTGTTGTTTTTATTGTTATTGTGCGCATTGTGGTTCACTGTTGGAATATGTGTGTCATTAATAAGGATTTCGCAGCTTTAATGCACACGGAGTGGCACACTATTTATTTTATGCGCTTTTGCGCTTAAGGTGGGCCGCAGGTGCGCGGCGAGTGTGAAGCAAAAGGCACACAGTCCACTCTCTGCGCTGATATGCAGTATAATTCAGCGTTTTTCACAAAATTTCACACTTTTCGTAGCACTTTTGTTGATGCAGTTTTCACAGCAAAAGTCAAATGTCAAACACGACGGATTTATGCGACATACATACTTTTATATTTGCTTAGTTTGCTCGCTGTTTCATTTAATTGATAAATTGTTTTTAAACTTTCGTTTCGTACGCTTTTCTTGTCCACTTTTCATACACAGTTCACACCTTGCTTACACACACAGTTAACTTTCAACGTTTCTAGAGGGAAACTGCTTGATTTTCATTGATTGTTTGTTTGATGTTGGTTCGTCCTTGCTGAGGTCCAGCAAACTCGAATGAATACGCACGACTAGCAGCCACTGGATGTTGGCCAAGCGAAGTGTATCCGCCGTTGTCTGTTTTCGCCATTCACACATGCACACGGTATACACGGCGTATGCTTTGGCATGTCGGGAGACTTTCCAGCCAACACACAAACCGGATGAACGCGCACAGTCAACAACATCCAAAAGTCATGGACCAGTTATCAGTCTTTGCTGCATCCACACGAAAGCGTCAATGCGCAGCTGCTGCAAATGTCGCCTGCGTTGACGTTTACTCCCCTCTCGCTGTGGTCGAGGTATGTTTTCTGAACAGAACTCTCCAAACTGATTGAGTGCGTTGCGTTTCGCTCTAGTTGTGTTTTCTACTTCTGTTGTGCATTTGTGTGGGTGTGTGCCAACAGCTGATCTCGTTTGTTGTTGTGTATGCATTAAGCTTCAAAGTGGCTGGTTTAATTGTGATGCCTCTGTAGAAAATGGGGTCACGGGCGCGCAACTACTTGAAGAAGTTCGCCTAGTGAGTTGAATGAGGCATCCAGAACACAACTGAAATTGGAAGAATACGTTTATTTCCAACAAGTTAAGTTTAAAAATTACTTTTAAGTAAAATTATGTCTAAAAGAAGAATGCTAAATTACGATTTGAAATATAACAATGGCGCTATAGTAATGGTATTCTATAGGTTTCAAATTCTAATTGGACTGTTAGAAAAGTTAGATAGATTGTGGGAGAAATTATATGAATATAACCACATTTTTATTTAGAGCTTTAACATATAAAAGTATTTTATTTAATTTTTCTTTTATTATATATATATTTTTTTTTCAATTTCCATAAGCATATTTTTCTTTTTCATTTGCAAAATTCGCTTTACAACCCATTGTGTAAGCGCAGTGCTGCCAACATAACTTACAAATGCTATACGTCACTTTGACAACTGCTGTGTATTTTTTCTACAACTGCCGTGAAGGTGCTTTTATACGTGGCCCCTCTAATTTAATATTTGTTCAAAGCTGCGAATCTTGAAGAGCCTATTTAATATAGTTTAAATTTGTCGACAATTGCGATTTATACAAAACAAAACGATTATGAACCTCAAATTGTTCGGCATATTATGTGCGCTAGTGCTCTTGCAACTGCTCCGTGCCAGCGAAGCGTTCATCGTCACCGTTGACGCACACAATGAAGAGTGTTTCTTTGAGAAGGTGGAAGGCGGCACCAAATTCGGTAATTATATTTAAATCAGCAAGTTTTTATAGACCATGTTTGCTAAGTTGTATGTACGTTTTCGGCAGGCGTCACATTCGAGGTGATTGAAGGCGGTTTTCTCGATATTGATATCAAAATAACTGGCCCGGATAATAATATCATACATGAGAGTGAAAAGGAATCCTCTGGCAAATATACTTTTGCCACCGTCTCAACCGGCATATATCGCGTTTGCTTCAATAATGAGCGCAGCAGCATGACACCCAAACTGGTGATGTTCTCCATTGAGGTGAGCGAAGCGTCGCATCGTGCAGCGGGCGCGCCCAGCGAGGAGGAGGTTGGCCACACCAAGTTGGAGGATATGATACAGCAATTGTCGGGCACACTGACGGGTGTCAAACATGAACAGGAATACATGCATGTAAGTATGGAGAAACTGCCGCGTTGCAAATTTTTTTTAAATAGTTGATACCTTGACAGGTGCGTGACAAAATCCATCGGTCCATCAACGAGAGCACCAACTCACGCGTTGTGTTGTGGTCTACTTTCGAAGCGCTGGTGCTGGTACTGATGACCATCGGTCAAGTCTATTACCTGAAACGATTCTTCGAAGTGAAACGTGTTGTATAAGTGAATTGTGAGCGAACGCAGATGTGGACTTTACCTCCAGTTACAAACATTTTAGTTTGCCATTTTGTTGTAATAAACGTCTATTTCTGCATAGTTGTGTTAAACGCAGCTAATTCACCACTCATGTGCAATACGATTTTACTGCATATAAGTTAAGATTTTATGGCATCCATCTTTTCCACTCATCCTGTTCATATTTGCGGAATTTACCGGAATGACAGAAAACTTAAATTGGCTCGCATTCTACTTTGATTGAAACATGTAATACCCGATTATTTTTTAGAGCAAATAAATTTAAGACTTATAAATGTGGTTTCACTATGACTGATTGGGGCAGCACGGGGATTGAAGAAAATAAAATAAAGGTACCCGAATTTTCTATAAAAACTGTACAAACAATTTTGCACATTCAAAATTGAAGCAAGGGTACCAGATTTTTGTAAACACAATTTTTCAAACGAACATTCATCGGGGTTACCAATTTTTATTAATAAATTAATTTTGACCGATCAGACAACCCTATAAATCGACCGCTCTCTTCAAAATGTTTATCTCTTAAATTTCAATGTCAATTTACTTTTCGGTTGTGTTTATTTTGGAAAGTAAATTAATAGCGAAAAACAAATTACAACGATGAATTAAAGAGTTCTTTCGGAAAACGAGAGCAGCTAAAAAATATTGCTAAAGAATTTGCAAAAATGGCGATTATTGCATTCAAATTCAATGACGTCATGCTACGCATAAAAATGCCGCCAGTGACCTTGGCAATGGTCGCTTGTTTGCTACTAGTGTCCTTGACGCCAACCAAAGCCGGAGAAGTGAATGACAAACCCAACATTTTGCTAATACTAAGCGATGACCAAGACATTTCACTGGAGGGCATGACCCCCATGCGACAGGTACAGAAGTTTATCGCAAAAGCCGGTGTTCAATTCAATCATGCGGTATGTATCCAGCCATTAGAAATCTTGGCCTACATTTTTACTTATTTTCAATTTTTATCAGTACACTAGTTCCCCACTCTGCTGCCCCTCCCGCGCCAGCCTACTATCTGGCATGTATGCACACAATCATGGCACTATCAACAACACTATTAACGGTGGTTGTAATGGTCACCATTGGCGTACAGCAATTGAGCCACGGGCACTGCCTGTGCTGCTGCAAGACGATGGAGGTTACCAGACTTTTTTCGCTGGAAAATACCTAAATGAATTTCATGGGGAACGCAAACCGCCGGGCTGGACACAATTCTATGGCTTACATGGCAATTCTCGCTACTACAACTACACTTTACGTGAGAACGAACGAAACGTTAGCTACACTGACACATACTTAACGGATCTGTTGCGCGATAAAGCATTGGGCTTTCTGAAAACACGCAATAAGCAGCAACCATTTTTCGCAATGATCGCGCCGCCTGCGCCTCATGCACCGTACACGCCCGCAGAACGACACCGTGGCGCATTCGCAAATGTGAAAGCATTACGCACACCCAATTTCAATCGCATACCACTGCCACAAGGTAACGCTAAATTGCGTCTTTAACAATAACCACAACTGATTATTTTGAACCATTACAGAGAAACACTGGCTTGTGGCTGCAACGCGCCCTATGCCGAATATAACATTGAAATTACTGGACAGTTACTATCGGCAACGCTGGGAAACGTTGCTGGCCGTGGACGAAATGGTAGCTGCTTTAATTCAGACATTAGACGATCTACGGCAATTAGACAACACCTACATCATTTACACATCAGATAACGGTTATCACATGGGTCAAAACGCTCAACCATGGGACAAACGACAACCCTATGAAACCGATATACGCGTACCGCTGCTGATGCGTGGTCCTGGAATACCACAGGGCGTGGTAGTGCCACAACCCATATTGCTGCTGGATTTAATGCCGACAATATTGCAGTGGACCATACTGCATGCACGCACACCACTGGACGGCTTGCCAATACAGGCAGCATTACAACAAGAAATCGATGACAAACAGTTGAAAGAATACCGACGAAGTGTGTTGATACAGCATTGGGGTGAAGGCAACGACGACACTTATAATCGCGACTGCCCATGGTCGCCCAAAGATCACTTGTCGCAGTGTACACCAGAGTCGGATTGTCACTGCCAGGATGCTTGGAATAATACGTATGCATGTGTCAGGCAATTTAGAGACAAAACTGATCGACTTTTTTGCGAATTCAACGACAGAGAGGTGTGCAGCTAGATGAGATATTTACTTCAGAATTAAACATTCATTCTTTTTTATTGCAGAATTTCGTTGAAGCATATGATGTCAATGATGATCCTTATCAAATCAATAACATCGGCTATGATTTGTTGCCTATTGAGCACGCCTTTTATAGTTTGGCGTTGGCGAATTTGACACGTTGCGCTGGCAGCCAATGCAATGATATCAACATTTGAATGTAGAACCACGTTAAGGCGCACAATATGATCTCCAGTTGTGATTAAATTTCGCAGAAACTTTCAGTATAGCACATGTGGGTGAACCCGTAAGTCATCCATCATAATTTGTCGTCTATATTTCACCAAATTTTCTTTATTGTTAAAGCTCGAAAAATAAAAAAAAAAAGACACTTGAGTAATTTTTTTTTTTTTTTTTTGTTTTTGATTAATGGTGCCTTTGGCCACATGGGAAGTTACAACCACTGACACATTCAGCTTTAAAACTATGTAATTTTATTAATTGTAATGTTTATATATGTTGGACTTCGTTTCATGTGATATATCATGTCACTTCATTTTTTTATGTCCTTAAAAACTGAACGTAATCATAGCAATTAAATTAATTTATTTTTAAGTTAATCCTTCCATTGATATTATTGTATGATTTCACTTGGTGGTTTTTCAAACCATATTACTGAAGTTATTGTAACAAAATGAAAACTGTATTTAAAAAAAGTAAAGTACCAACAACTCAATTTAATTATGATTCAGTTTGCGCCGCAGCTTTTTAAAAAAAACATGAAAACTATATAACTACGCGAACTAGCTTAAAGAGAAACAGTGAAATTACTACATTAAATATGTATATTTACGATTGAATTGCAACTTGAACGTTTTTATATATTTCGTTGAATAAAAACGATCTTTATTTTTGTTTAAACACTACGCCTTGTAGATTCTTGCAGCTTACGCGGTATGTTATACGTTTTGCATTTGTTTCACTTACTTCGTATTCCGAAACAATTTATGCAATACCTACATAAGTTTATTTGATTTTGCAATTCTTGTTATTTTCTTGTCTGTTTGCACTTAAAAGTCCTTAAACTAGTGTCTTACTCGGTCGGTTCTTTGCTGGTTGAATTTTTATCCTCTTCTGCATTAGCCGTATGCCAAGTGAGACGTTCCTCATAGAATTGTATGACTATTTGTGGGCATTTTACATTGGCTTGTTTAGCCGGCACTAAGTCAGCTTCGTCGCTGCCCTTCCATTTCATGAGGAACATCAACTCGCCTGATGAATCGGTGGCTCCGAGTATTTTAGATGGTTCTAGACCTCGATCGAAACCCATTGTGCGTCGGTTTTCTCGCTCCTCTTCTACAGCTTTTCGTTTTACTTTTGAATCATTTACTGGCGTGTTACTGGAGCGTTTTTTGCTCTCTATTTAATTAGTAAAAGCAAGTATTTCTCAGAAATTAATACACAATTAAAATATATTTTTTCACCTTTCTTTGTTTTCAACGACTCCTCGAAAGCTGCGATCAGATCTGGGCAGTCGAGGTTCTCAACAGGTTCCCATGAATTTTCACTGCGCGGGTAACCTTTCCATTTTAAAAAATACTCGGTCTGCAAGCAAAAACATGTGCAAAATTTTTCCAATTGTAATAAAATTTGCGCAACTTACTCTGCCATTGCAAATGCGTTTATCCTCAATGCGTTCCACAGAATACTCGCCCGCTTCAGACATAGTGTTGTTGTCGTTGCTGGCAATTTTGATAGTGGAACTGTATTTGCTTCACAGTGAGTTAACGTGTTTGCATAAAATATATTAACTTTCAAAGACACCAACTTGTAGAAAAAAAAAACAAAAAGTACTTCTTTTTTGAGGACTGTATTCAAGAGTGCCGAAATTTAGCAAATGCAATCCAGTCCCGTTCGCTATGGAAACACGAAGCGGCAACGCCGTAATCGCTGGTCAAACTACTAAGGTTTTAAAACGAACCATGCGGTGTAACTATATCGTTTGGTTTCCACGGAACGTTCACTGTATTCAAATTATGATAAATTTTTACCTTTGCTATTCAATTTCTAATCCAAACGGACAATAATTCCCACGGAATTTTCCGATCTAGTATTGGTGTGCGTCTTTTTCACTATCCTTTCTTCGAATTCCGTTTTTGTAAAGCGAAGTTAGACGTGATTGTACGATGAGGCGCTTTTTTATACAGATGAAGCGAAAAAGAAGCGATAACGTAACACGATGTAACCGAATATATTGACATAAACGTTACGAATATATATCTCTTAGAAAGATGTAAAAGTAACTTATTTTATTTACCTTTATTTGTTTTATTCGTAGGACGAAACTTAAAATAATATTACATATAAGGGCTTACGTTTGGAATTACATTTAGAAGAAATGTTTGTATAAATCTCATCATCAGAATTCGATTTCGAAATAATGATATAATAGGTAACAAATCAAATAATTCGTCTCAAGCTGATTGTTTTTGTCTCGACGGTCCGATGGAAAAATTGATGATGAGATATCTCAGAATACGTCTATTAGGAAACTATTCATCAATTACTCTATATAAAAAACACATGCCACTTATATTGAAATCTGTGTAGGCTATATTTTCCTATTTAAAACAGGTATTTTTCTTTCTAACTATTTTTGCCAGTCGCTTGTAGGTATATATATATTATAATAATATTTTTAAAGATATATGTTGTTTAGTGACAAAATATGTACTATACATTTTTCAAGAAATTTATTGCAGACAGTTGGCAGCTCTATCTAAAAAGTCAAATGCTTTGAATTTATTGCTGGTAATCCCTTTCTGACGGCTGCCAGTTATATTCATCAGCGGTGAAAATCAATTTCGCCGTTTAAATTGTAAGTTTTCCACAACTATTTGACAAATATTCTTCTCTATTTGTGCTAGTGCATAGAGGTATTGCTGTGTTAAACGAATTATATAAAAATTTAAAAGTGAGTGTATTGCCTTTCACAGAAATGTCTACCTGAAAATTGGTTGTGCATTTCATGTGTGGTGTGGCAGAATGACAGCGCCATGTTGGCCAAAAGCGTATGCATACAATCGAATATAACCTCAATTTTTCTTTAATTTATATATTTGCAAAGCACAGTTTCCCACTAATAAACTTTTATCTTTTAGAAAACAGATATACCCGACTATTAAAAGGAAAACATGTCGCGTTTCTTTGCAACCGGTTCTGATTCTGAGACCGAGTCCAGTGATGAGGAGGTCCCAGTACAAGCGTATAGCAAAGCGACCAACTTCGTATGTAAACATAATTTCGATTTCAAAACCGTTTATAATTTTATAATTTATTTTTATAGCAATTTAGTGATGATGAGGAAGAAGTGAAACGCGTTGTGCGTTCTACTAAGGAAAAGCGTTATGAAAATCTGACAGCGATTATCAAGAGTATACGCAATCACAAGAAAATTAAGGATATGTCGAGTATTTTGTCAAGCTTTGAAGATCTGACACGCGCCTACACCAAGGCTTTGCCTGTTATTACAAAGGAAGAGAAGGGTGTGACCCCACGTTTCTATGTTCGTTGTCTTGCTGAGTTGGAGGATTTTATTAACGAAGTATGGGAGGACCGTGAAGGACGTAAAAATTTGTCAAAGAACAACTCAAAATCTTTGGGCACATTGCGTCAAAAAGTGCGCAAATACATCAAAGACTTCGAGGAGGATTTGACTCGTTTCCGTGAAGCGCCTGATCAAGAAAGTGACGCCGAAGAAGAGGAAGCTTACGACTCGGATCAGGAAAAGAATGATGCTGGTTCGGAGGAAATCTTGCGAGATCTCAAACAGCCAGTTGAGGCGAAGTCCTCCAAAGCGGCTGCGCCGTCCAAAGCCGTCGAACAGGATGATGACTCGGAGGATTCCATTGATTGGGGTTCTGATTCGGAGTCGGAATCCGAGTCATCGGACGATGAAAATCAATATCAAAACCAGCGCGAGCGTTTCTTAAAACGTCCCAATGTGGAAAAGGAAGAAAAGGAGGTGCGTGAAGATCGCAAAAAAGACAAACGCGCCAAGGAGGCAAAGATACGTCACAAGGTACGTATTGAGGAGGACGCTGATGAAGAAGGCGAATGGGAAACTGTATTCCCACACACTGTTGAAAAACCGAAAATGTTTGATAAGGACGCCGAAATAGATGTGCCACTGACACTGCAGAAGCTATCTGAAATCATGGCCGCGCGCGGCAAAAGACGTACCGATCGACGCATGCAAATCGAGATGCTCTTCGAGCTGCGCGACATTGCCGAAGAACATCAGTTGGGCAACGCTGTTGCTGTAAAAATACACTTCAGCATCATTTCGGCCATTTTCGACTACAATCAGAAAATTTCTGAACCCATGAAACTGGAGCATTGGAGTAAACTGCTGGATGTCATGCAAAGTATGATGAAAATTCTATTGGCCAACGAAGATATACGCATGAGTGAAGAGGTACAGGAGGAGAACGAAGAGTTCGCAAATCCCCCATACGCAATCCGCGGTTGTTCACTGGCCGCTGTTGAGCGCTTGGATGATGAGTTCACCAAGCTGCTAAAGGAGTGCGATCCACATACCAATGATTATGTGTCACGTTTGAAGGATGAAGTCACCGTAACGCGCATCATCGAGTCCGTACTGGAATACTTCGAGCGCGTTGGCAACAACAATGAGCGCTGCCGCGTTTACTTGCGCAAGATCGAGCATTTGTACTATAAGTTCGATCCCGATGTGTTGAAGAAGAAGCGCGGCGAGTTGCCACCAACTACGACCACATCCGTTGATGTAATGGATCGCCTCTGCAAGTTCATTTACTCCAAGGATGATACGGATCGTATACGTACACGCGCTATCCTGGCGCACATCTACCATCACGCCATGCACGATAACTGGTTCCAAGCTCGCGACCTGGTACTTATGTCGCACTTGCAGGACACCATCGATGCTGCAGATCCTTCAACGCGCATCCTCTACAATCGCATGATGGCCAATTTGGGTTTGTGCGCTTTCCGTCAAGAGAACATCAGGGACGCGCATCATTGTCTGGTCGATTTAATGGTAACTGGCAAGCCAAAAGAGCTGCTTGCGCAGGGCTTGCTTCCGCAGCGCCAGCATGAGCGTTCTGCCGAACAGGAAAAAATTGAGAAGCAGCGCCAAATGCCATTCCACATGCACATCAATCTGGAATTGCTGGAATGTGTGTACTTGGTATCGGCTATGCTGCTGGAAATACCATACATCGCCGCACACGAGTTCGATGCGCGTCGCCGCATGATCAGGTAAGACACGGCGCACACGCACAAGCAATTTGCATTTCACTAATGGAATTTTATATTTTCAGTAAAACCTTCTATCAACAACTTCGTTCTTCCGAGCGCCAATCGTTGGTGGGACCACCCGAGTCGATGCGCGAGCACGTTGTCGCCGCCGCCAAGGCTATGCGCTGCGGCAACTGGCAAGCCTGCGCAAATTTCATTGTCAATAAGAAGATGAACACCAAGGTTTGGGACCTATTTTACGAGGCCGATCGCGTGCGCGACATGCTCGTTAAATTCATCAAGGAAGAGGCGCTGCGCACCTACCTCTTCACCTACTCCAACGTCTACACCTCGCTGAGCATTCCTTCATTGGCACAGATGTACGAGTTGCCCGTGCAAAAGGTGCATTCGCTCATCAGCAAAATGATCATTAACGAGGAGCTCATGGCCAGCTTGGACGATCCAACCGAAACCGTGGTTATGCACCGTTCGGAGCCATCGCGCCTACAAGCGCTTGCCATGCAATTCGTGGACAAGGTCACCAATCTGGTTGATGTGAACGAGAAGGTCTTCGACATGAAGCAAGGCAACTTCTTCCAGCGCGGCAACATGGGCAACCGCGATCGCGGCTACAACCGCAACCAAAACAACCAGGGCGGCAACTGGGGTGGCCAGCGACGCGACAATCGCAATCAGCGCAATCGCAACCAACGCAATCAGCACCATCACCATAAACAACAACACCAACAACAACAGCAGCACCACGAACAACAAATTCAACAACAACAAATTATCGAGGAAGAGTAAGGCGTTGCCAATCGCTGCAGCGTGACACGTCAAGCAGGCAAACAATTAAACAACAACACCACTACAAACTCAAATGATGCGAACAAATGTGAAAGTCGAAGGAACTAGCAACAAAGAAATCATTAGCCCTAACTGCTACTGGCGCACTCTCGCCCCGCTGTGGGGGCGTAAAGTCTGCGCAAGCGGTAGCGGGAGTGCGCCACTTTAGACACTGCGAGTTCGAGTGAGCTCGGCAAAATTTCTCTAGTATGATTTTTACTATTGTTTTATCTAATATTTTTCACGTAATGCGTTTGCTCATTTTAAGTAAATCAAGTTGATTCTTTCTTCGCACTGTCGACACGCAGAATTTGAGTTTTGAAGGTCAACTGCTTGAAATGTTGAAATAAAGAATAGAAATACTACTGAAATTAATGTAATAATTGAACGATTAAGATACATATATACAATACAGATAACTTGGAAAAACACTATTTGCAAGAAGAAAATCATTTATAACCTATAAAGGAAAATACAACAAAGTCGCGCACAACAGCGGATACTTTTCATATTTATTTGTAGGGTATGCTAAAGAAATGGAAGATTTTTAGGGCGAAATCATCCCTGCAGTTACCTGCTTGTAGCGGAACCGCCTCCTAGGAACTTAAAAGGTCATTCCCTCAATTATGTCGATCGGACTTCGGACGCAACTAATTTCCGACAAGCACTGACCGTCATTCACAGTGAGCGATCAATACCTGACTTTCAGTGAATGGCGTTCTTGGAGTCAAACCACCACCCATTGCTGACGAAGAGCTCGAGTTGCCACGAGAAATGAGAGTGGCCCTTGCGCAACTTAGTTCTGGATATTGTAGCAGGTTAAACTTTTACTTGTCCAGCATAGACCCCCACTTATCCAACTTATGCAATGAGTCTCCGCATGACACTGGCCATCGTTTTGCATGCCCACCAATCCTACTCATCTGACAGCCTTTTCCCTTTGGTTCGACCCTGTCCGTTGAAGTCGAACCAAAGTCGAACAACAACAAGCTTGTGAGTCATCCGCACTGGCTTATTTTGGGTGGATCGGCAGAATTACC